TTGCGGTGTAGCGGTCCAAGCTGCTCCTTGAATATTTTGTATTATATACTCAGTCGCTTCGTCTACGTGGTCAGCTGATTTTAGTGGTATTCGGATGTTTGTTTTCATAGATATCTGTTTTCTATACAAGTTTCAGTTTGTCTTTCTGTTCGTTAGTGACGCGGGAGATGATTGTAGAATAATTTTGTTGCCGACTGTGATTATTGGCGTGTGGTCTGAGGACAGTTCGTGGCATGATTCTATGATACAATTAGTGGATGGGATTCCTTTCGCTATGAATATATCAATTACATCTGGAATTTTGGTTGCGTCGGTAGGCCAGTAGGTAGGTTCTCCTGTAGAAATGGTTTGTAGCTGAAGTGAGGTAACTGCTTTCAGCTGTTCTCTCCCTCTTGGGGTGATGAGTCTGGATCCCCATTGCGTGTGTTTGGCATTGTAATCTCCTCCCACCATGTGCCTATTTCCTAGAGACTTAAAATAGGTTTCAAACCGTTGTCTGTCTATTTTGAATCTTTGAGGGCAGTAAATGGCACTGATGGTAATTGGTCTACTCCAGTCCATAATTTGTACAGTCGTTGCTTGAATATCCTGTTCCTGTACAGCTTCCTGTTCTTGAGATGTTTAATAATGCTTTTTATTAATATTGCTGGTGCCCCATGGGGCATTGCACTAGGAGTTTAGGTATCGTATAAAGTGTAGTTCTTCATTAAAGTAGCTTCTTTCCTGTGAAGTGAGTATTCAGAGATGAGTTGCATGTCTATTTTGTTTTTCGTTGAGATAATATTTCGCTGATTTGCAGCGTTGGCGTTTCCAAGCTGCAACTGCGAAGGAATTTTAGGCATTAGATAGTTTTGGAGACAAGCGACTTATCGAAGGTTAATTAGAGAGTTTTATTTTGTTGACTTTGACTGGCGTTTGATTGCGTTAGTAATTGTTTCAAATCTCTCAAAGGAGATCTGTATAATTTTCATAATGGAATGGCTTCGTCGTTGTGTTGATGTCTTTCTAAGGCTTTGATCGCGCAACATCGGCCGCAATGTTCCTGCATTTACATGGTCTACTTCTTGAGTTTTCGTGAGAATAAGTAGTTTCAGTGTTGCTGTTTTGTGTCTGCACATCATCTCTTGTTGAAAACATTCCTGTGTTTACTTGAGTTTTTGTTTGTACCCTTTTCCTTTTTAGTATTTCTTGGTATACTTGGCAACGCTTTGTAGTTTGGCGGGAATGATTGCCTCACACTGAGCACTAAGTCGGTTGACTTTGTTTTCTTTTAAACACTTATCTGGGTCGTGCTCTTTTCACATTTCACACACCTGTACGGTATGCACAGTACGACCTGGTTGTTCATATCTCGTGACAGTTTTTGCATTGTACTATCTATCCCGCGTTTCAGGCGTGGTGCGTTCGAAAAGCAACCAACACAAGTTTAACAGTTCGGTTATTTTGAACCACTTTCTTTGTTGTTAGTGTTGCTCAGAGTCTAACAAATAGAGGCAGAGGTGATTTAGTTGGTCTATGGGGACATTTATACTGTGTTTCTAACATTTGTGGTCCGTTTTCAAGAAGCCGCGCCTTGAATATCTTTTACATCTAACCTTATGATGTTGTGTCGCAAGACCAACTCTATTACGCACGTTTGTTTCCAACTGGTATACGTGACGTGTTGGCTGATA